TTTCACATTTTTCCCCCCATAAATAAGAAGTGCTGCAGCTCCCTCTTTATTTTTATTTTGTTCCCTCTCGGCTGATAAAGCAATAATGAGGGTCAGCCTTGTCTCTGGGGTTGCTGCCTCAATTATTTACAATTTCGTAGTGGTATTGATTTGCCGGGGGAGCAAAGTCCAACCTAGAGAGCCACAACTCCAATTATTGGCCTTTATCAGTTAATTATGGGGCAGAGAGGCAGAGGCAATGGCTTTGACCTCCTCCTCTATGGGTCACAGACGACTCCGAATCTGATGTAACTCGCCGGGGTCTGCTCTGCTTTCGCTGCACGCGTTTTGCATGCGTTGTTTAAAGCGTTTTAAAAACTTTTTAAAAACAAAACTGACTTACGCAAGAATCGCGTTTAGGTGGGGCGTCGTCGTTGCCAGTAGAAAGTGCCGCTCGACGACACATTTGTGGCATAAATTAAGTCATTTACTTTGATGGCCATCCGTTGCCAAAACAGGTGGCCAAAACACCTGAAGAGCCGCCTGCAATTTGCCATTCCCCCCATTCAAACTTTGTGTTTACTGCAGATATCCAAGAGTGTCATCTACTTTTGATTCATTCGCCGTCTGCTGTTTGTTTTTCTTTCTTTTAACAATTAATTGTTATGCGTTTTTAAGCCCACAGACAATATCTTATATAAGTATATATCATCACATGTTTGCATTGCACACTTTACAGTTTGCTTGCGTTTTTTCGCTTTTGTTTGCATTTTATACATTTTGGCGTTAATTTTTTCGGTTTTTTTTTCGAGTTTGGCAAAGAAAAAGAAAAACTTTCTCCCGCCGCCGCCTGTCGTGCCAACTCTTGACGCACAAAAAAAGCAGAAGACATATAGAGATAGAGGCAAAAAATTAACAACAAGCCGATGATTTACTGGCAAAAACCAAAGAAATGATCATTGGTGGGCATTTCGAGTTATTTATTTACCTTGCCAAAGAGCACAAGAAAACGAAAATGAAAAATAGAAGCAAAGGTGTCAGAGGAAATTGAACTTTTAGCACTCGGAAGCAGCCATAAATAAATACGAAAAGACAGTGTCATCTTTGCGAAAATGCTGGTGGCAAATAATAAAAGTAAGCTCTTTAAATTAACAAAAGAATAATTGTTTATTTGGTTTATTTTTTGTAAAGGAGAATAAGTAATTCTTTGGGGCTTTAAGTTCTTTTTGGATATTTTCTTTTGTATTTAAAGATGTGATTAACTGATTTATAAAAGCAATCATAAGTTGAATGCTTTATTTTGTACATAAATATGTTTGCCTTTTAGCTTGTTTATATTTTACAACCTTCTTTTTAGGTTAAAAATTAAATAAATTGTCTAAAACCTTATTATATCTTATCATTATCATTATCAAACCAAACCTAAAGTTTGTATCTTAGAGTCTCAGATACAAATTTATCTGCAATTGTTATTTATTAATGAAAACCCACCCGAAAGCTGCGATAAATCAGCCCGAACAGGGTCAACTGATAAGGACCAGTCCCCGAGAAACACCGCTGGACTCCGACCTGAACCCAAACCCAAACCCAGACCTCCTCAGAACTGAGTCCCAGACGGAGCTGTCATATCTCATGGCTGGCAGCTCGTCGCTTCCAATCAATCACGTTTCGGTTATCGCCTCACTCGGCATGAGAGGAACACCGAGACGAGACGAGACGAAATGATGTTGGTGAAAAATATGGAAAACAAAGGGCAGGGAAATCCATGACCACAGACAGTTTAATCTGCAGTGTTTCGATTATTATGCAAACAGCAATGAAAGCTGGCAATTTAAGGCACCTATTTGGTAAACAATGAGCAGCGGCGGATTGTAATAGAAAAAAATACATAAACAAAAAAACCTAGTGCGTGCCTTGAAAATGCCGAGTATAGTAGGGGGAAAAGTGGAAAGTTTCCCGGGTCTCGCTGGCTGCATAATTGTTTAGTGGAGTGGGGCTTGTTTCTTTTTAAATTTAACTGCGTAACCCCACACAGACACCCCTCCGAAAAAAAAACACCTGCGGGGCACCCACCACCCTCCTCCCCCTCGAAAAGTTCGTGCCAAAATGCAGTTTTCCATTTACAAACTTCTTATTTGCTCAGTTGATTTGCCTTTTGTTTGGTTTTGCTTCTTGTCTTGGTTTGTTTGCGTTTGGCACGTTGCTAATAAAGCAACTATGCGCCATGCAGAAAAATCTCGAAAAAAAATTGCATAAAGCGAATAAAAAGCGCAGCAAATGAAATGCTCATATTTGTGCCATTCGGTTCGAACGAGTTTTTGTGAAAGTACGACGGCTATCTAGCGGATAGTTAATACGAAATTTACAGCCGCCCCCTGTCGCTGTCCACCGCGGCCACTTTGGGGCACGACTGCACTCGATTCCAGCCAGAGAGAGAGGCGTGGCTATGGGATGGGCTGCCAAAGCGCCAAAGCAAACCGTTACACGGTGAAAAATTATTGGATAATTTATTTAAATATTTAAAAATAAATATTAAGACTGGGAAAACAAGTATCTTTTAATTAAAAGTGTAACCTAAGAGCGTTTTTAAATAATATTAATATATTTATCAATATGTTGACAATGACTAACACTTGGCTTGGATAAAGTTATCTAAGTGAGGACTTTTAGAGAAAGAAACTAGGTATGTATATCCCTTAATTAATCCATTTCTTCTTTCTTTTCTTTTTTTCTTATTTATTTTTAAAAATCAAAATTGTTATCTAATAAATCTTTATAAATTCCTAGTCCCGTGTATTATCATTTATTATTTTTTTGCCAAAATCAAAACAAGTATCTAATAAATCTTGAAAAATGTATGATAATTTATCCCCGTGTAAGCAACCAAACCCCGTGGCGTTGGAACACGTTTCTCTGTGGCAATTTTAGTTTAGCCTTTTTTTCTGTTGCTGCAGTCTCCGTCCGTCTGTCTCCTTTTGCACTTTATTGACAATTTCTTTTTTGTTTTCTCGAACGTGCGTAGCTATTGTCGCCGATGGTGGAAAACCACACTACACACACAAACACAAGGCACAACATAACACACACATTTTCAAAACCGGCCACCGGCTGCGTCGCATCGCATTCAAGCGTTGACAGGCCCGTAATGAAATGCGAATTTCATTCATGGCAATTGGTTATAAGTTACGTCTTGGACGGGCGGCGTTGGTCAACAACATCCCGGAGAAGCTGAAAGCCAGGGTAATTAAGAAGCAACTTTAAGGGAAATGCTTACACTTGAAATCAGTGCTTAATTACGGATATTCATAAGGAAAAACAAAGATCTAAAGATCTAAGTTCAATCAAATTAATTTAAGAAAATCATAAAACTTCAACTTTTAATTAAAAATATACACAAAAAAGGTTTTTATAAATATCTGCAGAAACCAGCCTTAACTTAGCTATTAATTACTCACAAACTGGTTTTAAAAAGGCAACAACTTAGGTGTTAATTTAATGAATTAAAAGACCATCTCTTAGAATAATTTGGAACAAATGGTCTCAATTCTTCCGTCAAATCTAGAAGGAACAATCCAATGTTTTCCAAAAATACATTTGAGTTAAATTAAAAGCAGGAAACAGAATAGAAAATCAGTTTGCAGTTACTTGCCAGAACTTTGAGTCATTTGGGAATTTACAATATCCGATCGATGGCGGATTTGAGTCATATGCAACGGAGACGTTGTCACCTGGCAGATCGGTCAAAGCTTAATTACCTAACGCAGATCGAATTACCGATCAACACATTCCTAAGACTTCCCAGGCAACTCGTATTTATTTATTTTTTTATTTATAACTGAAATCCAAGACGCTTACAGGTACAAATATTGCTTTTGCCGAAATAAAAAATAAAACCCACACACAAAGGCCGGATATCGAATAACATATATAAAATACTTAAGGTTGAGTTTTTGTGAACATTTCCGCTGGAAAGTTGCAGAAAAGATTGAGTATTTAAGTAAAAATAAAAATACGTTCCAAATTATCCGCTAGGTGTTTATGCAAACGACCGCACAAAAACAAAAATTAAAAAACAACGAAAGCAAGGCAAAAATCGTTGCTTTAACGCAAAAATTTCACAGAGTCAGCGGCGGTCATAGCAGAGCTTAGCGAAAACCAGCAACAAAGCAGCAAAAATATGCCAGACGAGTAATAATTATCCAAAGAAATTATAGCCCCCCTGCGTGTGTCTGAGAGTGTGTACCTGCTGCAGTGCTGAGCTGCGAAACTGCGAAACTGAGAAGGTGCCCCAAAGGTGCTAAAAGTTATGCTGCTCGCAGACAGCAGCAGCTGAAAGCGGATTATGAAATATGGAATCCATGGAGCCCAAAAACGGGAGGGACCCAAGAAGCGATTAAAGATAAGGTTAGGATATGCCCGTGGTACACGCACATTTCAGGGGGTACCGTATTTGGCAGTCTTTTGGAACTCCTACGTAGGTTAAAGTATGATTTTCATTAAGATTTAAGTTTTAAATACGAACTGTTTGTACGGAAAATTATATATGGAATTTTAAGATTTAGGATTATTAAGATAAGTCAACTATAGCTTTAACAACATGATTTATATTCGTTTTGATTCGTTTTTTTGATAACTTTAAAATTGAAAATCATTCGAAGTCAAATTATTTCTTTCAATTATTCATTTTTAGACATTGGAAATAATAAAATATATTCTAATTTTTGTGTTATTAACAAAGATCACACTAACGAAATTTCCTTAGATTTAAGCTTAACAAATCATAAAATTCTGTAACCAAAGATGAAGAAATTCGAGTACCCGGTATTCTCTAGTCGCAAAACTTAGCCACCGCTTCTAACTGGCTTTGGTCGATCGTGGCAATAGCCACAACCGCCTGCTAACTCGTTTGCAGATTGAGGTAAGGCCAAAGCTAAAGGGAAAACTGGGAATGCAAAAGGCTCCTCTCTACTCATGAACCTCGGCTCCAAGATGATGTATAGAGCTGCGATGGTGTAACTTACCCGGGTTGTTTGCAATCCGTATTTGCTGGCTGAGAAGATGGAGATGATGAAGCTGCTGCTGCTGCTGCTGCGGTTTCCACAGTTGGTCGGGGGCGTTCCAAGGTATCGTTATCGCGAATGCGTTTTCAGTCAACTTTTTGTTTGAGGCGTTTTCAGCTATGTTTCGATTTCGTTTACGATTTGATTTTTTTCTTGAGGGGACAGGGCACTACTTCACTTGGTAGAAAAAAACTTGAATTCCCATGAATCACTTGCACGTTGTGTTATTTCCTCGGCATTATTTGCTTGTTAATTGGTTTCGTTGTTGCTGAATATCGGTCGCAGTATTATTCTCCTATATTTTGTTTGTTTGCTTGTTATTTTTGTTTGGCCGTTGTTGGGTCGTTTAGAAAGTGGGTTACAACTGACAGAGGAGACAGAGCGCGTCTTGGTTTACGCCTTATGCAAATTACAGATATTTGGATTCGATTCGGGATGTGTTTCGGCCAGAGGCAAACGTGGTGGCAAACTTGGTTCAACTTTGTATATTCTCCAGCGATGGAGCCACAGAGATACAGATACAGATCGCACTCCGTTCGCTGCGTTTAGCGCTACAACTTGAGATTCCGCTTGAGACGTTTGCACTCCAACTCGATTCAAAAGCAACTGATCGCTCAGACCGAGCAACCGAACGATCATCCCCGGCGAACACCACGTTAGGACAAGTTTCTGCCTGCGCCGCCTGAAGGTGCACGATCAGGTGAGATGCCGAGAGAGACAAAGAGAGCGAGACCGCCAAGATCGGAACGAGATTTATAAGACGGGCTTGAAGCTTTTTAACGGATTTTTGCAGCACAGAAGAGAGAGCTGAAGAACTCTCTCCGAAGAATAGAGTGCCCGTACGCGCATTTTTGAATAAACTCAACGGGACAGTGTTGCAAGATGAAAAGATCTTAGTCGAGATTTCCACCTTAAATATATTGCTTTTTTTTATTTTTTAATTTAATTTAAAAAAAAGAACAAGCCAAAGAATAAAAATATGTGATTAAAAAAAAGTTAATTCCGTATAAGCAAATGTATTCTATGTATCCTTTTAGCGATTCAACTAATGATTAAATCGGAAAGATTTTCACCTAAAAAGTTTTGATCTATCATTTTTTAATTTAAATTTATACAAAAAAGAATAAGAAATATATGATTTAAATAAAAAAATATATTAAAAAGAAAGATTATTAAGTATTTGAAAACGTTTTCTATGTATTTATTTTTATTCAATATTATCTAATGATTAGAATTGGATATAAAATCCTTTTTCAACCGGAAATTTATAACAATTTTCATTTAGGAAAGTGCCAAACCTTTATGATCGCCATAACAATTCTTGGTTTTCAAAAATTTTTTTTAAATATTAATTTTATATTATCCCAGGCTTAAACCATTAAGAAATAGATTTTTAACTATTTTAAACCCTTCTTATCAATCAAAACAATAACCAAATGTACAAATTAAGGGTACAGAATATTCATGAATTTCAATTTAAATGATTAAACCTAAAATCTCGCGTAAATTTGCAGTTAAAATTCAAAATTCATGCCACAGCTTGACTAATGGTCCAAGGGAATGGGAATATAGTAGTTGACCTTGTTCGTCTGGCGCTGCGAGATGCACTCGCTGATCCAGACGATGTTGCGGCACTCCAGCTGCTTCAGCTTGATGAACGAGTAGAAGATGCCAAAGTGATACTGCTGCAGAAACGAGCTGGCGTTCTTCTTGGCCTCCAGAATGAGGAAGCGGTCCTCCAGCGTTATCATGCCGTCGGTGTCCCGGTCAAAGATATCAAACAACTTGCCATATCCCTCGTACATATTGCACACGTCCCGTATCTTATCGGCATCGGCAGCAAAGGCCAAGTGATCCAGGGCCACCACTGGCAGGGAGCCACAGGTGGGAAACATCTTCATACGGTGGGCCGGTCTGGGAACTCGGGTTGAGTTAGATGTCCCCAAAGAGTACCAAGAGCACAACCCTTACCTGATGTCGCTGCCTATCGCATTTACGGCTATGGTGATGGCCCGGCGGTCGGCCTCGAAAGCCAGCAAATTGGTCATCACTTCGCCTGTGCTGCCGCCCAGCCCGCGGCAGTAAGAGTGGAAACCCTCTAGATAGGCCCGGTACAGGCTGGCCCGCACGATCTCCACGTCAATTTCATGCAGCTTCTCCCGGGGCATATCCGGCGGAATAAACTTGGCGATAGGCGTATCGATGAGCACAACGTCGAAGAGCTCCGACAAGTCCGTAACCAGCTCGATGGCCGCCAGCTGGTCAAAGAGGCCCAGCGGGTGGCACATCTTCAGCAGACGCTTCATGGGCCGCCGGTTGTTCAAGCCTGCGATCAGCATTGCGATGTTGTCGATCATGTACGGATAGCGGATATACTCCAGAAATGTGGTCAGCGGCTCTGACGAGTGGCAGAGTATGTAGTCATACTGCTGCATCAGGCGGTCCTGCAACCTCGAGTTGATCAGACCCACACTCGGCTCGCCGTGCCCGCCGGCGAAAATGTTGCCGTAGTCGGTGCCATTGATGCTGATCATCACGTCCTCGAGGCTCTCGCACTGCGTCAGGTTGAGGTAGTCAGAGTTCTTAAGCATACCGTTCTTAAAGCCCCGCGTGAGGCCCTCAAGGTAGCCCCACTCAATATTGAACATCATCGACATATTTGGCGGATACAGAGGAAGCTTAAGTCTAGAAATGTTTACTCCACTTTGGGATGCTGATACTACTGATTCGACTCAGATTGATGGATTTGTGTTGGGTGTCTTGGGTTAACTAAATGTCGAGCTAATGGTCCATAAGACAGACAAAACCTTCATCATTTGAAATGAATTTAATTTGGGTAATTATTTACTTCGTGGTTTACATTTCGAATCGACAAACGACCAGCGACCAGGAACCACCTCTCAGCAGTTCGGTCCATCGCTCTCAAAGCTGTCCAACGCTTAGTGGTGTCCCTGAGCCTCGGCCTCCAGCTGCTCCTTGGACTTGTAGCCAACCTGCTCCTCGGGGGTGTGGGGCCAGAACGAGGGCCTGTTGATGGGGTCCAGGGCGCTGTCGGGGAAGGCATCGCGGTAGTCCTCCATGGTCATCTGGTCGTAGGGCAGCAGCGACTTCAGGTGAGCAATCTCCTTCTGGTAGCTCTGGATGCGTTGCTCGGAGGCCTTCTTATACGAGTCAATCTCGCTCTGCGACTCCTTGATCTGGGCATCCACCTGCGAGGACACCTTGTCCTGGGGATAGGGCACCTTCAGGGCCTCGTACTGCTTCTGGAAACTGTCGACCAGTCCGGCGACGGGGACCAGCTTCTTGTAGTTGGCCCAGTCGATCTGGGGCGGGCTCTCAGGGTTGGCCAGCACGGCGCGCACATAGATGTCCGACTTGGTCTTGAAGGCGCCGAAGCTGCTCTTCTGGTTGGCGGGCACGCGCTCGGCAAGAGCGGACCAGTTGATCGAGGATTGGGCGATGCGGCGGGCGGCCATTCTGCAGCACAAGAGCTGTGAAACAACAACAAAAACGGGTATGAGGTTAGGTTTGTTATGAGAAAATAAAGGGAACCCTTCGGGAACTGGAGTGGTCTCAATCGCTGCTTAATTTAATGCTTGGTTTGCATTAAATCGTGAGTGGTTCTCAAAGTAACCAGGCGCAGTCGTAGGGAAAATTATGCCTGCAAAAATTATGTAATTTTTTTTGGCCTGCCGCAGGTGCAGATATCTGCATAACAACAACACGGTTCTCCTGGCTGTCGTTCCACTCCAGCAGTGAACCTAGTATCCTCCGGCGACCCCAAACATTTACTTTTTATATTTTAAAGGCCTTTCAAGCAACGTACTTATATTTTTACGAGAAAATAAATTTCAGCCCAGAACTTACACTTTGAGTACAACTAGTGTGACCAGAGTCCTATTTCAGCTTAACCTATGATTTTCCCCATCTCGGCAGGGTCACACAGAGGGGAGTGTGTTTGGACATGGTTCGTGTCAAAATAGAGCAAGGATATTCGGGCTTTTCCTTTATTTTCGGTGCTTTGAGGCCGATACCATGAATAAAAAATATCAATATTGTTGGGGAGCACCAAGAAGTCTTAGAATTACCGGGGAAACTCTTAAGAAAGCTAATTGCGGGACAATGTAATCGATAATCGGTTAAAGCTTCGATTGCTTTGGTCACACTATCAGCTGCTTTCCAAAAACATTGCTCGCGTGCCCTTAAAATTTACTTAAAAACGTTTATTTACGAAAATAATTAATTAAAATGTTGCTGAAACAATTGCCGCTAGCCGTGCAGCAATTGCGCTGCCTTTCCTCAGCAACAGCGGCGGTCACCAGGCTCCACCGTTCCGTTTACTGCCGAATGTACCCCACTGTAGTCGTCCAGCCCGATGGATCCACGATAAACATACGCTACCACGAACCGAGGAAAATAATCAAGGTAAAAGGAATAACCGGCAATGCTGGACTGTGATTAATACTCTTGAAATTACAGCTTCCCTTGGATCTGAGCACCCTGTCCGAAGCGGAGAGGAAGTCCCGGATGGAGGCTCGCAAGCCGCGCAAGAAGGTCAAGATCATGGAGGAGGTGGAGGACAACTTCAACGCCAAGAAGTACATGAAGTACATAAAGAAAAACAAGTAGCTGGCGTCCATTTCAGTGCAATTTATTGTTAAATAAAAACATAAACATTGTTATGTAAGTCTGGCATTTTTCGTGAATTTTTTAATGTAGGAAATAGTCAAGCAATCTTCGTGAAACTTTGGGGATAGTTAAAAGTGGAATCGGAGATAATAACAAAATTTCGTTATAAACAATATTTTACAAAATGGCGGACCTATGGAATATATGCCGTAGTGCCTCGAGCTTTGAGTTGCCGTGCTATGGACACGATTGAGCTCGTAATTCCTGTCCGAAATCCGTAAACTAAATTTTTTTGTATTCATTACACCTTTATCTTCTATTTGAACCTAAAAAACCAAAAAGAAATCAAGACAAAAAAAATAAATAAAGACGTTTAAAGTTTTTGATGCGCCCACATCCCCCCTTAAAACTAACTTCACCACGCTCTCCACTCTGGTTCGAAACTACACTAGCACTTTTGCTGCATTGGGCAGCACTGCTCGCTCATGAACGACAACATGGGTAGCACTGGTGCGCTGACAGAAAATTAAAGTTGATTTTTTTAAATTAAATAATTTGATAAAAAAAAACGTCCGCTATCCAAAATAAAAAAAGATTTTTGATTTACGCGCCAATTATCCGATGAAAACTCACAAGCCTTAGAGATGAGAAAGAAATTTCAGCTTTTTGGGATTTTTTAGGAGTAGCCAATTTTTAGAGATTTTTCCACTTTTTCATTATTTTCTGAGCAAAACAAGCTGTATTACCAAAAAATAAAGCTGGAAAAAATGGAATTCCAACAAATAATTTTAAGAAAATAAAATGTATAAAATGTATTAAAATTATTATTTTCTAAAACAGCTGGAATTCCCGTTGTCCGCTTGATCAATATTTTTCCCGCAAACACACTAAAAAAAGCTAAATTTGACGGGAAAAGGAGGAAGTGACATCACTGGTCGCAACACGGTCACACGTTCGCTCATATTAAATTCCATAGACAAAATTCTGTTAGCTCCCGTTTTAACAGAAAATTCTGTTAACCTGCCGAATTCACATTTTACTTGGTCGGTCACACTAAAAAAGCAAAATTTGACGGGAAAAAGAGGAAGTGACACACGGTCACTCTAATCGAGAAAGCAGAATTCGGGAGTTGGGTGCGCGTCGCTCGGACAAACAATTGTTAATTTGTGGACGCTTTTTCGCGAGTGCAGACATAAGTAAAGCCAAGATGTCTTCGGCTGCATTCCAAACTAGATAATTGGCCAAGGCTACCATTCAAGTGCAGCTGCAACGGCTGAAAAGTGTCGCCCTGCGTCGGCGGAGAAATGTTGAATGGGCAGCAGCGTCGCGTCTAACAAAAAGCAAAAAAAAAAAAAAACAAGTACACACATCCGACATCCGAATGCACATAAACAAGACGAGACACCAAACACAAAATCGAGTGAAAACCTATTTTAAAACCAAAAGCTATATTTATTTTGTTGACGCTCAGGATTTTCTGCTGCGAGTGCGTGCGCGTGTGAGTGCAAAAGTGCTGGTGTGTGGGCTGTGCATACCACGGCGAATAACTGCAATTGCAATAGAGAGCAGACACATACACACACACATAATTGGATTATGGCCGCACGGCAATAAGAACAGAACGAGGCAGCGAAAGGGGAGCAGTCGCCAAAACAAAACTGGTAAATAAATAAATAGTCTAACTAAGAATCGGCTAAAATGCAGAATTAGTGGATTAGCTGGTAGCTCAAGAGTGTTCGGTGCGTTTCCCAAGCTGGTGTTCGTGCTTGCGTTTGTGTCTGTGTGCGGAAGCAGCCTAGAGATGGGGGCCTGACCTTAGTTCTCACACACTGCCTGCCGTAAGTTTCCACCCGCTATTGTAATCGAGCTGAAAAAATCCGGAAAACTTAAAATAATAGAACGGCCACAAATATGTATTAGTTTCTACAGGTGAAACTGTCACAACATATAACAGTAAAATTGGTAGTCGTAATAATATCCATGCATTTACTTTTAAATACTATTTTTAAGTAAAATATCTGATCACCAGATACATGGAATGCCTTCAATTTATGGGCAATAATAACAGCTTTATTGGAAAGCGTGTGATGTTTGAGTTTTGAAGGTCAGAGAGTTTTAAAATTTAAGCTTTATTGCATTTAATCATTTTATCAGGGGCAGTAGTTTTGCTTATCATTATGAATCTGAGAAATGGTTCAATAAAGTCCTTTGTCTTTGTTTTGTTGCCAGCAGTAACAAAACAATTTTATTTATATTTCCCTAACTTTTTAATGTTTCTGACAAGGTCAGAATTTTAATTAAGAAATAAGTATAATAGAAATGTAAACAGTTCTTTGAGACGAACCTGTTATCATCGCTCCGATGCACTCAATCTCAATTTGGCTCATCTCTAGCACGTGCGTGTGTGTGCGTGCGACTGGAATTTGAAATTGGAAATGGGGAAGGTCTGTCTGGTGCTGCAAAGGGGAGCGTAAATATTTTCGTAAGCAGCGGAAATGTAAAAATAACACCAACACATTTGCAACTTATGACGAAGATGCTTCCGATGTTTGTGTTTTCCAATCTTGCTGGCTGCCTCTTTAGTTTTCCTTTTTCCCTTTTCCCTTGTACGTTATTCCGTTTTTTCCAATGCAGCGGAAAGACAGTTTTCCACGTAAAATGCAAATGCCGCGACAGATGTTCCGGTCGTTATTATGAATCGGGATCGGGAGCTACCGCGGCTCCCAATTCGAAGGCATCTCTTCCACTTGGACATCTTTTTCCACTAAAGTGCAGCTGCCCGATTGGGATTTTGCCGGTTTGGTGGTTGTAGTTTGCTACTGCTGCATTTTGTGGTGTTTTTTTTGTTTTCGATTGTCGGTTTTGGTCGCTGTGGTGTTTATTTGAAATTAACAATAAACTCCCCCGTACTTCCGCCCTTGGCAGCCGGCTGTTAATGCTGTCCAAGCTAATTTGCTCTGTGCCCGCATCGGGGGGAGAAAATAAAATAAATAAAATATAAAAGAAAGGAAAATAAAACACACCATCGACCGGTGCCATTTGTTCTCATTCCCGTCCACCCTTCGGTGGCTGTTGTTGTTTGGTTTTTGCACCTCCTTCGGCTGCATTCATCAAGTGTTTTGTTTTTGCCCGATCTTCTTGTAGGACTTGCACTTGAGGCTGAAAATAAACCCACTTTTTTGTTGGTGTCGCTCTATTTTGATTCATTCGCGTTTAAAGTTCATCTACGCTGGGCGCTAGTTTTATTTTTGGTGATTATTTTCTCAGGCATAGTTCGTCGATCGATGGGCGGCACGTGAGTATCCCGCCTCCCGAACCAAAACGGCTGCCAATTAGTCTCTAAATGCCTAAATGGCGCAGTAATCGTTGGAAACTTAGAGGTACAGTCAAACTTTTGTGGTCTGATTAGAAGATTTTTACCTCAAAAGACCAACAAATTACTAACCGCTTTTAGATTTGTTTAGTTTTACTCAGAATTCTAATTTAAGGTAAAAACAGCTTTAAAGACTAATTAGCCTATGTCAAATTGTTGTTTAAGTTATGGAAGCGGCACTGTATCTTAGTCAAGACCGTTCTTTGGCGAAAGAAAGTGAAATTTCTTTTGCTCATTAAGCTTATCTTAGGCTTTCAGCCCTCGACAGTCCCAGCATTCCATTCCATTTGAATTTATATATATAGATTTACGTATTTCTCTTCGCTTTCCATTTCGTTGCGTTTTCGGGTATGAATCACTTGTTTTAGGGCCCCGAAAAAACTTCGATAAACCCTCACACCTTCGATAGGCTTGGAATTTATTCAAAATACACAAATTTACATAGATTCTTTTTGTTTTATAAGCAGGCATATACGGCGGATGCAGGCAGCACCTCCCGATTGAATGAGTTGCTAGTTTTCCGAGTGTGGGTGTGTGTTTGGGTATCTTTGTATCTTTCGGATAGCCAGCGATACGATACCGGGGCACATAGGCGTATAAGAATTTATGAGCGCGACAACGACATGAATTTCATTCGGTCTTTGTTGTTTCTGTGAGCCCGAGAGTGTGCCATGTCCCATTTTCCACTTCTTTTTGTTGTTCTTTGATAATTCTGCCCGGCCTCCTTCGCGTCTCATCATCTCTTTGTTTATAGAAATTTCTGACTTGGCTTCTATTCGCCGTCCTCGTCTTGGTGCACGTCTTGGTCTTTTGTTTTTCTTTCTACATGAAGTGGCATTTTTTGTGCCGCTGACCAACTTTCCTTTTCATTAACGCTTTTTTCGGGGCACTTCCTGAACGCATCACCATCAGTTCTTGCGGCATTAAGCACCCTACTTGAACGTGTCTGCTGAGAAAATCATTTCCAATTTCATAACCAAGATTTATGGGTCTTTAATGGCCGAGTGTAGAGTGTGTATATATTGCACACACTTCTGCTACTACGGGCACGCGCCTACGTAGGTTGATGATGATGATGCCTACGACGACGACGACGACGACCCTTGGCCCCATAAAAATGCAACTTGATCTCGACATAGCAACATAGCCACCGCAGTCTGTGTCGGCAGCGGTTTATTGACTCGAAACCTTGTGGCGGTTAACGGTTCAGCGTTCGATTTGGAGAATGCCTTAAACGCCATAAAAATCTAATAGAGATAAGTGGTGTGCTGAAATTAATTTCATTGGTTTCTCCAGCACATCATTTAGCAACAAGCCCACACAAATTTCTAAATAAAAACTTTGTACCGCGTATCTTAGATGTAGGTTTGTTGATGTTTTTTAGATTTCAATGGGATATTATTACTTTAAATAAATTATAAACAATACAAGTCCCTTTTAAAAATTCTTGATACAATTGAATAGTTTATTTTTATTAGCATAAGTACATATATGATCGTTGTGGTAATATCTTAATGTAATGTGAGGGAATTTTCTATATTACTATTCTAGCAACGCTCCAGTAAACACGCCCATCTTTGTATACCACTTTGAATTAGTTCAGGCCATTTAATCTTCGTGTCACTGCTGACACCGCCTAAATCTTCAGGTTGCAGCATTCCATTGCTGGGCGCTCTTCATCTATTTTCCATATGTTTGGCAATAGCCACGGATGCGGACTGACCTTTGTTTGGCTGGCATTCCTATTAAAACATAAATATTTTGATGCTTTGCCTGTGGTTTTCCACACGAGATAAATAGTTTGGAACGTGATGGGGAAAATATATGTATGCAAGAGATGAATAAAAGCGGCGGCATGGTGTTGTGCTTTTGGTGTCTTCTTGATAGACTCGATGAATCTGCTCACCCAAATCGTATTTCCCTCCGAAAATCGTTGCTTTAGGGGGCCTTGACTTAGTTTGCGGAGCGTGCTAAACGCATTTTTGTGGGCCGCGGAACGGATTTCCCTTGATCTCCATCGGTAGCACTCTCTCCTCAGCGAGCGCGCGCGCTTCTTCAAAATATTTGAGCTTAATGTTTACTATATTTCTTTTTTACAACAATATTTAACTTGGCAACTCATTAGGTTTTATGGGAACTTTCACAACTGGCTGTGAAGATAGCTAGCACGTATTCATTTCATAGCCGAAACGAGATAATTTGACAAAGACCCGCCCGTAATTGGACAACTGTCGTCGTCGGGGGCGTGGTTCAAAAACGATCCTTGGGTAATCGTGCGGCAGGTTGGCATTAAATCGACTTTCCGCTGCAACTCTTCAGGTTGTCATGGCGCCTAATGAAGTGTAGCACTTTTTCCCCGTCTTGGCCAAAAGCTTTCGTTGTTGCCTATTGGCAGCGGTTAGCCGCAATTGACCCTAATTATGGCCCGCTGCCGGGCCGGCTTTAACTTCAGCTCGTTGTTGTGTATTTGGACAGATTTCGCAAAGAAGGAAAGACACACAAAAAGCAAACAACTGAGAGAAAAATCTCAATTCGCATAACTTCCCCGTTTGCCAGAGTGCAAAAATGTGCTTAGTAATTTGTGTTTTATTTTGGTTTTGGTTTTGACTTTGGAAAAGTGAGAGCTTGCCATGGCTTGGTGTGTTCGGCGCTATCATTATCATTATGTCGAAATTTGGTGTAATTATTTTGTTATAGTTTTAATTGTGAGCTGGCTCTTTTCTCTTATCTGCCATGATCCCCTTTGGGCCACTCGCATGATCCTTTACGAGCCAATTTTTTTGCTGGCTGATTTTATTTGGCGTCGCCCAAAACCCATTTCGCTGTATCTTATCGCTGAATATATATGGTTGCCTTGATAAGGAATGGCAAATCAAAAAATTCCAACCTGTTGCCGTTGTTCTCCGGTATTATTAGAGCAGCAAAATATTTGGTTATATCATTTCCCAACTTATCTCTGGCGTCAAACCGGCGAGTGGTTCGCGGTGTGGGGTGTGTGCTTCAAGGGCGGGAACCCTTAATAGGTTCCCCGGTGCTCTCTAGGCTCTCTAGAAGGCTCCTTCAACTTTGCTTCTCAAGCTCGAGGCCAAGGCTGCAGTAGTCGTGTTTATCTCACTTGTATTTGCTGATGAACTGAACTCTTTTGGCCCCGTAAGCCCCCGCTGATGAGACAACAACAAAAACAAAAACAAGCGACGACACTTGGCAAAATGATAACCAAATTGCCGCTAAATTACATTGTTTGTTATACAGAGCGAAGAAGGCAAAAGCGGGCAACAGTCTGTAGGTTGCTGAAAATGTTCGTGTTCGTGTGTTTTTATCGCACTTGAACACAGGCGCTATCAAGTACATATGGCATAGTGCTTGTGGCTATCACCGCCACAGCCCGGCTGATAAGCCGTGGGCCATCAAACGCACAACTCCGCCAATCGGCGTCGACTTTGACCCTGAATATTTATTAGCAAATGCGAGCAGGCTCGATTAACTCATTCCTGTTAGTTTAGCGGTGTTTGCTAATCCGCAGTGCCTACGGAAACTGGATTCATAAATATAACTGTGGAGGCCTCAAATACTCCAACGATTTCTGGGTACCCTAATCTGAATGTATATTTAGTTCAAGCCTATCAACTTGTTTGGAAAAAAATACTCTACTTAATCTTCTAGAGTTCCGAATAAGTTATTGGACATCTCTGATTCCACATAAGGTACTGATATACTATAGCTCTAAAATTTCCTCTACATATTAGGCTTTTGAGTTAATTTAAATGGTTTTTTGCTGAGAAATTAATACCCTAAACTTGTAATATTCCTTAGTTTGTCTTGACGAATATTTATTGCCGACACTTGGATATACTACTTTCTGTGGCGCGTGACAACGGAATATTAAGTGAATTCTTTGAAGTTTTATTTTTTTAATTTGCTTGCACCCCATAAAATGAGAATAAACAGAGAAATGTTGATCACGCGCCGCTCCGTCAGTTTCGCAAACAGATATACGCACACTTATATATTTAGACGTGTTTATTTACATTTCATTAGAGCGACGGAATTGATTGAATTTTATTAACTTGTATTTTTTGTTTGCTTGCCGCTTTTTTTCAGACTTCCAACTGCGAGCGCTTCCAGTGCAGCTTCCACAAGTGCAACGTGCCAAGAATCGAAGGACTATCCATTAACCATTCCAAATACCGATAAGATACAAGCAAACCAAGTACACAAGTCTCTTTTATCGAGCAAAACGACAGTGATTGATATATAGTTGCCACATTTTTTTTATGTATTTGTTTAAAAATTTTGCTGCGTTCAGTAAATAAGTCGAGATTCGTTCCTTGGCGTTAATCGGTTACCCATAGTGTTATCGTTAACAAGACCATGTGGTAACCCACTAATCTTACACGATTCGTTCAGTTTCCCGTGACAAGCAGGCAGGGCAAGATCGCCCAACATCAAATACTTAAAATATTAAATACTAAATAGCCAAAACCAAGCACTAGACAACCCGGACACACACATCTCATCCAGATACGACAGCAACATACGTCGTAGCTGATAAACATGAGCCTGAATCAGCACAGTGGACCCGGCCCACCGTCGGAGAGCTGCGGCCTAGCAGTGGACCAGGTGGATTCCTCGGGCCACTCAGCCCCATCTCCCTTTGTCTGGCCGAGCACAGCGGGTTTGTGCAGCAGCACCACCACCTCAGCATCACCACCAAGTGCAACGTATAGGGGAGGAGCAGGCGACACAGCGAGTGGAGATGGAAGTGCAGAAACTGCTATCCACAATGGAGGAGGGATTGCGAACGGTATCGCGAACGGTCTGCCGCCAGCGCCCGTGTCGCGGGCTATATCATCGGATCGCCTGGTTACCGGCATATCGTGCCGGGCTCTGCGCACCGCCGTCTCAGCATTATATAGCGTTGATGATTTTGTTAAGGAGAAAATCGGATCGGGCTTCTTCTCGGAGGTTTACAAGGTAAGTCCAGCACTTGTGAATATGATTACATAGCTTTTATAAGGTTATAATAATAAGATATGGTTTCTTGGGTAATCATTGTGGCAGATAAATCAATGATTGATAGTGTGTGATATTTATCTTTGTGTAATCACTAGTACTGTCATGTGTCGTTGTTAAAATCAAGTGTACTTGTCGTTGTTCCCACAATAATTGAGCATCACACTCTTTGATGGCACTTTCATTTTCGCAACAGTAACAGTAAGAGTAAGAGTAAGAGCAACACCCGCCAACAAAGATAACAATGCCAGGCAAATGCGATTATTTACACAATTTTAATTAAACTTTAAAATTTTTGTAATTACTCAATAGGTATTGTGGCCGTTGCTCAGCTCTCGGTTCGGTTTTGTTCGGCCCGGCTCATCATTCATTATCATCATCCGACCGAAATTGCAAAACAATGGCCCAGACCACACCGCACCAGAGCAGAGCACAGCAGAGCTGGCTTAAATCCAAACCCATTGCCACTGCAGCTTAGCTGGGAGTTGTAAAATTCCGAGCGGCTCATGAAAAACGCATTCGGACTGCAGTGAAACCGTGTGTAAAAATTAATAGCGTTTAGCTTCAGTCTCGGCCCAGCACTTAAGAGTGTAAGCCGCTTTGTGTTGGGTGTTATATTTTGTTTTTTTTTTTCGGGCATTTTGGCCATGTCGCTCACAGCTCGGAACGGTTGTTGGCCCCGGTGTTTAAAATTAATAAGTTGCAACAGATGCGGTGCATACATATGACGATGCATTCGGGGGGCGTTTGAGGCACTCGGCATTCGATGGGATGGCCCAGAGCACAGAGTCTGACATTAGGGCTTTCCAATTACGTAGGAATTAGTGATGGTTAGGTGCTTATGCAATCAACGGTGACATTGGGGCGGCCCAAGAGTACTTGGCCTCTACGATAGATACATAGATAGATGGATGGAAGGGCCTACGATTCGAAATGGAAATTGCTATTGAAATTGAATTCAATGTGACACACTCACATTTCTATTTCTGAATGAATTGACAACTCTTTCTTGACTTTCTCATCTATATCTCCCAGATATATGTCTGAATGGATGGATAAAAGAAAACGGTTTCACTTTCATTTTCGTTTTTAAGTGATATTTACACATTTTTCTATATGTTCATATATGTTTATTATGTTTCATGGGGCATTATTCGGTTATTTGTTGCCATTATTTTCCCCAGCTTTCCCATCAACGGCAACAATGATTGTGAGTCGCCACCTCCTCCTCCCTTACTTGCAATTATTTTTCAGTTGTTTAATGAAAGCGCTCAAATAATGCCTCGGCTAAATGGAAATCTCCTCCATTCACTGGAGCAGCACAAAGCTATCCTAGGCTCCTATATCTATTCATGTGCGCACATTCTAATGCCGCAAATCGCATGCGAGCGGCTCGTATCTTATGGATACTTGTGTCGGCGGTGAATGACCGACCTGGGCTTCTACCTTTCCGGGGACGACTACCTGCTGATTTGCATAACAGCTCGCCATTCACTACCTCTAGCTTTCTTCAGAGAATAAATTGCTGGCGTGCATCCCGTCGAAGAAGATAAACTCCAGGCCACAACGGCCTGTTTATTTGCGTGTGAAGTGCGTTCGATTCCATTCCATTTTCAATTCGAATCGATTGCATTTCCGCATTGTAATGCGCCAGCTGCCAGCAATTAATGGCAGCAGCAGCGGCAGCAGCCGTGGAAAAACTTCACTTCACCCCTTCCGCCTTAAATAATTGAAAGCCAGAACCCCAGCCAGATCCAGAGCCGCGATCATTCGGTTAAAGTTAATTGAATTGCCAATAAATTCAAATCAATATCTGCCTAATGACACCACCAATTTGTGGGTTCAGCGGCGTCAAGTGCACGCCTGGATTTCCATCCGCAGTGCCACACTTTTGCCCCCAAATTCCCACTCTTTCTTCTCGTGAAGGGGAAGATGTATTTCGAAATGAAGAATCTCCTCGAGATTTATTATTGGCCCTGGCTTCTCAATTGCGTGTCAAGGCAGCCGAGAAAGATATCAAATGGCGCCGATGAGAAGAAGGAGGAGGGCCGATTGGAATTTCCACTTTGATTAAAACTCTTTCACAATTTCCCATCCATTTCCATCTATTGCGTGCAACGGATGCAATCCGTAGAAGCTGGCGGATCTTAACCTCGCACATATGGGGTTAATCAGGCGGCGGGAAAGTATGGAGCTGGAGAAATTACTAAATTGAATTGGCCAGATTTCCACCAGCTCGGTGTCGCTGCGAGATGTTAATCGGACAGGAACCGTTTTAGAGTGTTAAAGCAAAATCAAAATCACAAAAATAATTCTCTTAAATCATGTCGTATAAGGAAACTGCCAAGCCAACACACAATTTGTTTGGACATAAATCAGGAAAGACTTTTTTTTTTTTATTATTTATGTTTTCAGTTTGAAAATTTTTTAAAGTTAGTAAGTGGGCCAAAAGCAACGGTGAATGCATAACGCCATGCTAAAGTAGACGGCACTCAAGCAGAATGGGAGTAGAGTAGAGTAGCGCAGAGTGCTTAGTATTTATTTGATAACTACAGTAGACACAATGCACCCTGGTGCCGGCACCTGCCTTCCTATGAGCACAAATTGCGAGCTGTCAGCGAAGACAAAGGGGATCGCCACGCGAGCTGCAATTTGTTTCACTCCTCTCGGCATTAAATTTATTATGTAAAATGATATGTATTTGGCCAAAAGGAGAACTCGATCCAAGCGAGTTGAAAGTCTAGCTTTTGTTTGGTGTGGGTGGTGGGTGGTTTTGACCCAAGGCGGCCGAGTGAAAGTTCTGAGCTGCAATTGGAGATGCCAAGCTGAAGGAACTGGGAAATTGGGTTAGACGATGGCAATTAGATTAGGGCCAGGCGAAATTGTTCCAGATGTTCCAGCAACGAATGGCGACTGTGACTGCAAAGTGAATGTAACTCCATCTCCATCCAAATCCAACGGGCATCCTGTTGAGCGCTCTCTTGACCAGCTACAGTTTTGTGACCAAAAAGCAACATCGCCTGGCCACAATCCAATCCACAGCCAATTGACATTGCTCCGCTCTGCTCCGGCAGCGGCGAATGGAGTCAAGTCGTCGTCGGAATCGTTGCGAATTGATGAAAGTAAACATTTAAGTAGAACTAAATAAGTTGATGTTGAGATGGTGGCATTCGATGGACGACGGATGGCTTGCAGCCTGCTGCAATTTCTCTTCTTTTTCTTTCTATTTTGTTTTCTTTTCTTTTCTGTTGCCCCCCATCTCTATGCAGAGTTGCCGTGTTGCGCTTTGTATCTTTTTGCATTTCGCATTGCAACCGTGTTGATGTTCACGCGAAATTGATTGCCATAAATTATGCAAAGTTGCATTCTCGTTGTTGTTGCTGGCCGCTCGACGGTCGGTGAATTGGTGCGCGGCGGCATTTAGAAACTGCAACTGCAACTGCTGCAACATCTGCATCTTAGTCCGGGGAGTGGTTAGTTTGTTTCCTCCGTTGGAACTACCATGTGCTAGGTATTAGGGGTGTTGGAAAATATTCGATTGATCGATATTTGATACAAAGACTGATATATAAATCAATGTTTTATCGCAACATCAACATCAAAATTCGGTTAAATATGTTTTTAACGTTAATAATACTATGTATTAGGATGTCCGAAAAATATCAAAATATCGATTGATTTTTGTAACATTAAGTTGATATAATCAATAAATCAATAATCGATAGGATTTCGTTTTTGAAATATTTTATAATATATTGATATTTTTTTCGATATTTATTTTATTTTCAAACTACTTCCATAGGAAATTACAAAAAAAAAGTATATAGACGATTTTCCTGCTATATTTAGACTAGAAATTAAATTGCCGGGTATTTAATGGTCTGAACCCTCATCTCTCGCAATCCTCTCGTGGGGTTTTTCCCTCTTTTTTCTTCCTCTGAGGCAGCGCACACATTTTCCATCTTCGATTTGCTGCTGCCGCCTTACCATTTCGCTAGCAATTTTTCAAATGATTTTGATCTTTTGCTGCTGTTGTTGCCTGTCCGCTGACTGTTTGTTACTTTTTGTTGGCCAGACAACATTCGGTTACAGTTACTTTTGATGTGCATGCAAATGTTTACACAAAAAGCAACATCCCAGCGAACAAACAGCATCCAAACTTTTGGCTCTCTCGAAGGAGAAGCAGGCCTAATGAACTCTGATGCGCCCCAATTAATTTCCCAGAGGTTTTATTGCAATTTGCCCCCACGGTTGCTGCGCTTGATTAATAATAGTACAAAGTACAAAGCTTATAATAAAATTCGCTAAGCTCGGACTGCTTGCCTCCAGGCCTATAAATCTGAGAAATTGAAATTCAATTTTGCATAACAAGAGGCATTGTCTTTGGGGATTCGGGAAAAAAGTAAAAGTGCTTAACGCACTAATCAGGCAGCAAACAGAAAAACATTGATTTTGAATAACAAAAGCCCGGGAAAAGAAAACCAAAGTATTTTTGCACCCTTTTCAAAACTATAAATAATAAACAAAAAATTGCAAACAAAACAAGTTATGTAAGGGGCCGAAAATAGCGCTAAAAATATTTACCGTAAACACTTAACAATGAACGCGCAACGAAAATATTTGATTTCCTTTCAAGCATCTCCGCGAATTGCTATGCAGCTAATTAAGTTATAATACTTAACGAGCCGCAAATCGCAAATTGCCAATCTCGTTGCTCACTACAACTCACATTTGGTGGCTGGGATCGCCCACGTAGAAAACTCTCGTGTTGTTTCGCTTTTTTATTTTTGGTAATGGCGCCGAGAACGAGTTCGGCTACTGACGCCGCCTCCGATTTGGTCAATTTGAATGTGATACATAATAAAACCATGTTAATGCGATAATTGATTGGAGTCGACGGCGTCGTAAATACGATTTCAAAATATGCAAATATTTACCTCTATTTTGGAGTGGGCAGCGAA